CCCCCCCTTTACATTGTGCAACGATGCTCCAAAGATATATGTTAAAGAGCTGACGTTTAACCTGCATTATGTATGACTTTCCATGCAAATGTTACAGCACATAGAGAAAGAAACCTTTGATCAATGCTCTTATTTGGTGATAGTGGGGCTGTAGTATTAAGAATGGATTGAGAAGCAATTCAGTCCATTGAATTAAGATTTTAGAACAGACTGGTTTTTATTTTGGTAATAGTGCTGCCACGGCCGTTTCTAGCCAATTTGACGCCCTAGGCGAAATCCCTGATGCCCCCCCCACCAAATTATATATATATATTTCTTTTCAGACACCAGTTGCTTGTCACTTTCAAATAGGTTGTCATAGTAAAGACACTAATTTGTGGAGATTCAGTGCATTGAGTTCCACAAATCTGAATGCATTATTTGTAAATTGACTGGTAAGATAAACATTTTGCACAATTTAGTATCTGTAATATCATTGTGTTGCCACTAGATGCCTGTATAGCCCTATGTAACAATCCCTAGTGGCTAAGACTTTGCACATAATTTACACATAAATCACACATAAATTAATTTTATTACATTTTGATTTGGATACTATATACTATACAACTACATATCGTTTAGATATAATCAATGGCTACTTTTTTGTCTTTAATTTTTGTTGTTGTTGTTTCTTAAAACATTGATTTAAAGTGTCAGTTATTGCATTATTATTTCAGTACAACCTATAGGGGCAGTCATGGCCTAATGGTTAGAGAGTCGGACTTGTAACCCAAAGGTTGTGGGTTCGAGTCTCGTACTGGCATGTACTAGGCGACTGCCTAGCTCGCCTATGCCTAGAAATGGCCCTGAGTGCTGCAGTCTTCTGAGATGTGCTCTCTACAAATGTTGCTCTTTGACCTTGATGCCTGGTTTGCTATTGTGTTAAATGAAATATTGGTCCCCTCCAGATTTGGGTAGGTAGTAATAGTTGATTGTAAAACCTTTAATTTTCCAATTACAGCTCAATTTCTTACTGATAAATTAGTATTAATGTGTCTGAATTGTGAGTATTGAATAAGCTGGAGAGACATCATTCAGCGCCTGCTGAATGAGTTATTCAGGACAAGAGCAGTTTAAAGATGTAAAACACGCTCTCCCACTTCTTTGATGCTGTGATTCATTCTTTATATCTTCGTCTCTGTCTTTCGGTTCCGATGTTTCAGCTGCCCTCTTCAGGCATTAGGAATTTCCAAATACATATTACAAAATATTTACACAGGACCATTTCCAGCTTACGGCAAACAGCCTTGGAACTTGGCACTCATCAATACATACAGCACCAAGCCTTCAGGCTCAGTAAAAAGGCAAAGGTATTACTTCGAAATTGCAGATAAATATGTATTTGAAAATACCTCAGCAGTGGCAGTCAGTACAGACAGTGTGTATTGTTCACAGGGATCTCTGCCCTGATGAGGGAGTAAAAAAAAATCACCAAGAAGATGGTTTGACTGAATAACAACACAATGGCTGCTTGATATGAGAGTGGATTTAGCCTGCAGGAAGCATGAGCAGACTGTAAACACACATCTGAGGCGTTCTTCTGACTGAAAAGGAAACAGTTTAAAGTGGGGGATATTACAGAGGTATCCAGTTTAAACACACTCAGATCATTTTATGGAGTTCAAATTACCATAAATAGCTGGCTAGGAAGCTAAAAAATAAACAATGCTAGATTTATTGCATTGGTAAATGTAGAGGCAAACATTTTTGATACAGGTGATAACATAAGGGCATGTCAAAAAAGTTACTATATTATTTTGATTCAGTAAAATGGCTGCTGGTTTATGTTTAGCAAACCTGCCGACTCAAAGGAGACAGCAGCTTGTCCCACACCTCCAGTTGCATGATAGCCCTGCCTAAAGGACACATGGTGGCCCTTATATCCAGTAATTTCCCATCAAAGTTAATGCCTGACCCATTAGCCTCCTCCCTCACAAAGCCCTGTGGGTTCTTTTGATAGTACATTTCTTTATAAAGGGCCTGGTCACACTCCTTTCCTTTTGGGTAGATGCCTACTGCAAACCAATTCTTATACAGATTGTAGTCCCAGGGGACAGAAAACATGACGGCAAGGGTCTCAGTGTAGTCATTTCTGCTTTGCTCGAACAGGTCGTAGGTCATAACCCCCACGCTGCCAGTGGCCTGAGCGCTGGTCTTGCAGAAAGTGCATACTTCAGTCTTGAGGGGGCGCACTGTGGGCTGAGGTGGATTGGAGGTTTCACCACTCTCAAGATAGACCCTGTGGGATTTATATGGATGAATCATAAAGACGCACATATTTACGGCTACACAAAATGCACATTTAAATGGATAGTTCACCGCCCCAAGTTCAAATTTTGTTATCGTTTAATCACCGTAATGTTGTTCCAAACAAGTATACCTTCTTTCTTCATTGGAACACAAATGATGATATTTCTGAATAATTGTTTTTTTGTCCATAAAATTAAATGAAAGTACAGTAAATGGGGTCCAAAACATTTTATGGAAAAAAAACACTAAAGCATTTTTCAAAATGTCTTTTATGTTCCATAGAAGAAAGAAAGTCATACAGGTTTGGAATGACATGGGGGTGAGTAAATGGTAACAGAATTTCCTAAATGCATTTTATACTCCTTTACTTATATATATACTTATATATATACACACACATGTTACACATATAGAAGTTTAGAGACAAAGTTTTAGATTTGAATGCTTGGTTTAACATTAGTTTTGCTTCTGGTTGTAGTCTCACTTTGGGTTGAGGAGGCAGTAGTTGTTTGTCAGGTTGGTGATCTCTATGGTGGCGTGTCTCTTGCTGCTCACATTGGCAGCGGCAGCCTCAGCAGACTCAGTCATGATGGTGCACGATAGATCTGACTGATGGCTGAAACGGAGAGAAGTAGAGAGGAGAGGGATGGTGTGAGAAAAGAAGTATGTACCTCACAGTAAAAAGAAGTGGAAATGCAGTTTTGTTTACACTGCAGTGAAAATAAAATAACTTTTCTCTTTTTATTTGATATGAAGTTTGCTATCACAAGTTAATTGTCTTCTGTTTGAACTGGTGTATTTGAATTCAGTATTTTATTCCTGAAAAAGATTCTGTACTGTCTGGTGTGTGTGTATGTGCATACACTTCAATATAAAACGAAGCATTAGATTAAAGTTCACACATTGTCAATGTTGTCAATGTTATCTAGGGAATAAACAGGGTCACAGTATATACACGTAAAGAGCATGCCCCACTTAAAAAAACATTGTGACTGTAGCAGTCTTCCATTTTATAATGCATTGCTTTTAAAGGAAACAAAGAGTGTGAAATACAGTTGCTCAATTGTCCATAACTGAATAAACTGCCTTGCAATTTTAGTATGGAAATAAAAGGATACATTAGAATTTATTTTTGATTATTAAGTTATGATTATTAAGCATATTTCGTCTCAAGGAGAATGAAGGCTTACCTCTGTGGTACTCCGGAGTGTATGTGTGTTGCTCAGTAACAGTGCGTTCCGAAAGAGTCACTGCGTTTTTACTTTGACTCCCTTTCCCAATCTTCATGATCAGCAACAAGAACAGTACATACCCACCTGCAAAAAAAAGTATGGAGATGCACACACATATCAGCTCAAGAGGCATCACTGACATTGGTGGGAAAATGTTTGGAACAGTTCCACACCCAAAACTAGTCGTTAGATTTGTTAGACCAGAACAGTGAAGTTGCATGTACAGATCTGTCTCAGAAATGACTCTGTTTTTAAAGGGTTTAAACAAGATTCAAATAAGTAGGTATGGTAGCATTTACAGGAATACGTTTTAGGTGAGGTTTCCTGATAATTAATTATAATTAGTCTTTGTTGTGTTTAGTACAGTAATAATAATATTTTGAAACGGTTTGGATGGGAATGTTTGTTTTGTAATATGTTTTGAATAATGAGTCTAGAAATATTCTCACTTCATTTCCTGCTTGAACCATAGTGGGGAAAATAGTTGTTCATAGAAAAAAAATAGGCAACAGTTTGCACGCACACGCACACGCACACGCACACACACACACACACACACATATATATATAGAATTTATTTTGATAGGATAGGTTAACATTTGTTTATGGTTCATAGTTTTAAATAGCTTAATTTTATGTTATTTATTTGATGTTTCCTATAAGAAATGTATGTGAAAAGCAAAGGGCAGCTTGTAGAGCATGACGCTACAGCAATGACAAGGTCGTGGGTTTGATTCCCAGGGAGTGCATACATTTATACTTTATAAATTCTATTTATGAATTGAATTAATGTATACTAATTATGTATCATTTATGAATGCAATAAGTCTCTTTAAATAGAAGCATCAGCCAAATTATCACCTCATTTTATATTATATAGTGCAGACACAGAAGCAAACATAAGTATTCAAAACAGTCTTTTTCTTTTTTTATTTAGGCACAATTTGAGAATTTACAGTCAGAAAATTGGGCAGCATAAATGCAGGTATTAATACAGACATAAAAATGTGACATCAACATTTGAAAGCACAATGGCATATGTATGATGACTTATTAAATGATGACATTTAATAAGCATATGATCAAATTTGTTTATTATTTAGCCCATCTTATCATAGACCTCTAGCTTAATAATAGCCTTGCCCACAGTAGACATGGTGGCCCTTAAGTCTATTTTCTTTCCTCTGTGGATGATTCCAGATCCCCCTGGTGGATTTTTGTTAAATGTGAGCCAAAATCATCACAATTAAAAGAACCAAAGACTTAAACTACTTCAGTCTATGTGCACTGAATTTATTTAATACACAAGTTTCACAATTTGAGTTGAATTACTGAAATAAATGAACTTTTCCATGACATCCAAATTTATTGAGATGCACCTATATGTATGCATGTACGTTATATGTAAAATGTGTGTGTATATGTGTACTATACATATATACATACACATATACATTGAAAGTGGATGGGGACTGGCTGTTGTCTCTATTCACTTACATTGTATTTAAAAATGCAACTTGGATATTCTGCTACATAATTATTATTTTAAAGCAAATGAATTGTATAGCAAACACTACAGCATTTTAATCAAATAATTTTGATTGACATGCAGCTCAACATTTACACTCAAATCCAGGCAAAGCCTAATCTGTCTTCTTCTCAGAAACTAGCCGTTAAATGTGACAGCAGGTAGACAGATGAGTGCTTTCTACAGTTTTAGCACAGTCGCTAAAATATCTCAAATAAGAGGCCTGACAGCATGTCAGAATATGGATAGCCACTTGCAGGCTCCATATGGCTCAGAGAACTAAACTGTTAGCAGAGACAAACAGTGATGCAGTGAGCTGAGGATCATGACATGCACCAGCAGACACAAGCAACGAGACTTTTTACCATCGTTACAGTGCAGATGAATTAAGGGTTAATGCTCATTTCTGTATTTAAGATAAAGTTTTTTTTACCTTTTGTTTTTACAGCGCACACATGGAACTTATCGCAAACTGGTTAATAAATACCTGACAGTTACCTGCTAGTAAGAGAGGTTGCTGTTGCTGAGAGAATTGTGGGTTTGCTGCTCCTCTGTTTCAGCGTAGATGAACAAAGTGTTGGGTGAATGACAGAAACACTCGTAGACACACAAACACCTGTTTGACAAACACAGGCGTGTCCCCTTCTTTCCTCTCCAATGCTGACAGGAAGGGGGGAAAAAACGGCAGAAACATTAGTGGGAGAGTTTGATGGGAGTTGACGCAGTTAGACTGACTAACTGCTTTCATAAATCTTCAATCACATAGCTCCATTTAGAGAATTCGTGGGCACACAGCCAATAAAAATGCCAGGAATACTCCATCATGACAAGAGGCATTTTGTAACAAAAAAAAAACAAAATAACTACTGACTAATTCTGTAACAATTCATATTTTAGTAGGTAGATTATCGATGCAGTGCTAACGAAAACATGACATAATGAAATGCCTTGTTGGTTACAGTGCAAATATTGAACTTAAAATGAATGATGAATAGTACCAAATCCACCAACGCCCAAAACCTTTGTGAAAAGTGATACACAATAAGAGAGGACTTAAAAACAATGTAAAGGCACTGGGAGATTATATCACACTTTTGTATTATTTGCACTAAAGTACATCTTATCAAAGCATGTTAGAGCGTCTCTCTCCTAAGAGTGACAGTGTGTGACTGAACATGTCATGGTCCGATGAAGCAAGAGAGTGAGTGTTGTGAGTCCCTCTGCATTTCCCCTTCATTCCAGCACACTTTTTAAAACTCACTCACACCTAGAGACTTGGTAGAAATGTGCAGAAATATATTCAGGATGCACCCACATCTGACTGAAAGTTCAGGGCCCTTATTCATTTTCCTACAGGGGGCAGCAAATATACACCTATTCACCCCATTAATCCTCTTCTAATTTTGAAACGAAGAAACATTTTACATTCCTGGAGATGCCTTTTTTCAGTTTGATGAAATTAATTATGCATATATTTTAAAACAAATGCTAAGTGAGCTATGCTATGTTTTTCTTTTAAAGGGATAGTTCACCCAAAAATGAAAATTCTCTCAATAATTTACTCACCCTCATTCATGTTCTGTAGAAAACAAGAAAGTCATACAGGTTTGGAATGACATGAGGGTGAGTACATGATGACAGAATTTTCATTTTTGGTTGGACTATCCCTTTTAAAGGGGTCATTTGATGCTTTTTTAAAGATCATTATTTTGTGTATTTGGTGTAACAGAATAAGTTGACATGCTTTAATGTTCAAAAACCACATTATTTTTCAAATACTGTACATTATTGTAGGTCTTCTATGCCCCGCCTCTCTCAAACGCTTCTTTTCTACAAAGTCCCTCTTTCCGACAAGTGCAGTCTGCTCTGATTGGCCAGCTGACCCAGCGCATTGTGATTGGCCGAACACCGCAAGCACTCGTCGGAAATGTAACGCCCCTTACCATAATCGCGAGCTTCATCTTTCAAAATAAATGTGAAGACAGAGCCCGTGCTCTCTCTCTCTCGTTCGCGCACACACATACACAAACACAATGCGCAAAACTCTGCATTTGAACACTCAATAGCAAATACTTAAACTAATAACAAAACAGTAGCTGATTCAGAAGTCAGAAGTCAGCAAAGTCAGAATTACCTCCTCTCCTAGGTTCACGAAACGGTCGTCCATAAAATGCTTTGCTGTTGTGTTGTAAGTAATCTTAAAGATTCCTAAATGCATCTACTTTCGGAAGGCCAAATAAAGTGCTTTTGCTTTCGCCTAGAAACACACAGCGTCTCCCTGACATGGCTGCTTCAACACTAACTGCGGTTACTGAAACAAACGCCTTCTTTCTTTGCGTGCACATTTGGGCTGCATTATGCAAATCTTCCCACATAGTGAGGTAGATATGTGGGGGCGTGTTAGAACGAGCCATTTTAGGGGGGCGTGGCAGAGTCTTAACTTTGATAAAGAATATCTCTTTGGTTTTGAGACTTTAGTCTTTGCAACTTCAGGGATCTTATCTATGCACAATCAGCTTGTAACATTCCAAAGAGAAAGGAAAACTTGAAATCGCATGGTATGACCCCTTTAAGCTTTGCTAAAAGTACATTTAAAGATGAGTATATTTAAATGTGTTAGTATGAATTATAATGACCCAATCTGTTTATAAATGCTGCTTCATAGTAATCCCTATAAGCCATTGATTTATTTTTCCTGTCTTTAGAGTAACCAAGAAAAGCTCAAAGCGACTTTTTGGAAGTAGAACTATCCAATAAAACGCTTGATTCACATTCTCTGCATCGGCTGAATCCTTTCAAAGGAAATCAAAAGCTAACCTTATGATTAGATGTATTTCAGTGTAAAGTCCACATCCCATTACCTGAGCCAATGGAGGCTCTCTAAATGCATAGAGCTGCCGTGCGTCTGAAGGGCTAAAGATTAATCCCTGGAGCCTATGGAGCTATTCACAGGTAGGGCCTTTCAGATGATGGACTAATAGCTATCGTTCTTGGGTTTGTGTGAAAGTGTGTGTGGTGGGGGGTTATGCAAACAGAAGTGACTACACACAGTCAGGCTGAGGTGTGTGTGTGTGTGTGTGTGTGTGTAGGGGGGTTGGCGTTGCCGGTTGATTAATTGTTAAGGGGGGGCGGGAGGTTCCGCATGCTCACTTTGTGATGAATAGGCTGTCAGATGCCCTCCAACTACCCAAACAAGGCCGTGGTAAAACAGGCATTTAAGTGATTACACCAAACGCGAAAATATTAAACGTCCATTACGGAGGGATTATATATGCTGCCACTCCGCAGGTGAGAGGCGAATGAGGGAGAAAAAAGACAGTGATGCGGGGATGAGAAAAAAGGACAGGTGCTCAATCTACGTATTTGTTGTTTCACGCCCGACTAATGTTTTTCTGTTTATTCTCCACAATGACCAAATCACAGGCATTAATCTCATTTTGAGAGCACTTGAGGTGCATATTTTGTGTGTGTCGTGTATCTCTGATGCTTTAATTTGACTGGGCAAGTTACCGCATCCCCATATTCAAAT